ATTATCACCACACGCCGCTTTAACAATTACAACATCGTCTACTCCTTCAACCTGGGCAGGAGTGAATTCATCTATTTTGTCTGTATTTCTACCTAAAGCACCTTCATCATTGCAGCCCCAACTGTATGCCTTTCCTTGATTATCTATAGCAACATTATGTAAACTTGATATAGATATTGCAACTATGTTTTTGCCTAGAGATTCCAGTACCCTTGGTCTTTTGACCGTGCCAATAGCTTCAGGATCGAAGCCCAGCTGTCCAATTTCATTTGAACCAAATATAAAAATTTTTCCTGTGACGCTTGGGATTTCTGTTCGTGTAGCAGGGGTTTTTTTAATTCTTTTAATAGTTCTTGTTTTTGTTGTTGTTACTGTTACTTTTTTAATGATTTTCCTTTTCATTTTTTTTTTTTTCTTTTGTTTATAATTAATTTAAAAACAAAAAATTTTTAATCACGCCACAAATTAATTTTCACTGCCACAGCTGTCTGTACCACAAATGTGACTACTTCTTTCTCTCTTTTATTATTTATTATGCATTAAATATTATTTTCTGCTAATAATAATGCTGTGACCCGAATTCTTTGAATTCCTCGAGAGAAAACCGAAACTTGAAACCCAATACTAAGTTTTTGCTTTTTAATATGATCTGCCAAATTTGGTACACAGTTATAGAATTTAACGTAGAACAAGCATATGGATGGTTAATGTATTAAAAAATATATGCTATACTTTTATTATTTATATTAACCCGTGCAATTGTGTAGAGTATACATGTAATATATGTTACTGTTTTCTTGATGTAACAGCATGCTCTTTCAAGCGAAGGCTTGGAAAATAAATTTCTTATCAAAAATAATGAATATGCTCTCGATTACTTTAGACGCGGCTATTCAACAGCATGAATAGCCAAAAGGCGACAAACCGTGTGCCCTGTAATGGTAACATCTTTTGTTTATATACGATATTGGTAACCCTTATGCAAAATGCTAAGAATCATTTCAACAAGCCAGATTCTTTTAAAA